TCGTCACTTTTTGGCTCAAAATGGCCGTTTTTCGTATTTCTCAGAAATATCAACTTGGAAATCGAAATTTTAAAAATAAATATTCCAGAATATTTTGACCCTCCTTTCAAGCACTTTTTTGCTGTTAAGGCCTTTTCTCTCTGATTCGTGCTTCGTCGGAAGGTTGCGCTGTGCCATCTGGCAGAATGGCACAATTGCTTGCTGCAAACATGGTGGTATCCCGGAGTTACTAATCTGGTGTTGATCTGGGACTGTGGAGAGTTGCTCCCCATGGGTTTACCAGACTCATCACGGCCCATAACGAGAGTGATAGTGGCAGTTATGATAGCGATACGATGGTTGGAAGCTCATGTGAAAGAGAACAATAGACAGGAGGCGCCAACGAGAGAACAATTCAGGAAAATAGATTGTCTAAAAGGTTTAGAACTTTTTGAGACTATGTGCAAAATCTTGAACATTCCGCTGAAAGTGAAAAAGATATGGGCCAGAAGACGTCTGATACCATGGTTTAGAGCCAACACGACTGCATGGTTGTACGAGTATGCCAAAAAGCATATGTCGAAGCACAGCTGAGTGTACACTGCGTATCAGCTGGACATTGCTGCAGGAGCTTTCAAGCGAGCTTTTGTAACTCATCGGAATGCAGTGATCACCGCAGTAAAGAGAACTTCCAGGACGAGTGAGTGTAATGGAAGAAAGAAGGAAGAGATGTTGAATACAACAGCTTCTGCCGAAACAGAGAATCTAACGTTGATCACTTACCTTGTTGCAGACAAAGAGTAGAAGAGCAGAAGTGTTGGAGGAATTGCTTCCAACAGCGTCGGGATAGCCAGACACAGAAACTGAAAGTGCAAAGTCAATGTTGCAGGAGGAGGAGATGGAACACTGACAAATGGCCGAAAAACAAGATGCCAAAAGAAAGAATTTAGAAGAGTTTAGAAGTTTTAGAACTTCTAAACGACGAGAAAAGAAGAAACAAAGAAATTGGGAAACAAAAGAAGTCAAAACTCAGAAATGTTTTGTATGTGACAAAAAACTCAAATGAGAAACAAAGCAACCAAGTTGTAATTGAAACTGAAAGAAAACCTTAAGTTGAGTTTTGAACATTAAAGAATTTGTTACATTTATAAATTTGCATTTTGATTTTAGTTAGTGGCTTAAGAGACACTTACTATTTGTTTAGAGAGGCTTGAGTGAAGAGAATTTTTAAATATTCCAGCCTGCATGATTGTTTTTAATCAACTAGGACGATTGATCACTTTGTGGTGACATGAAAGGCGTGGGTAATCTCTTGAAGAGGGAGACTATTTAATTGTTCTTTCTAACCACAGAGTTCCTTCGTTTTAAAATTCAGGACCAATAACAACTAAATTTCCGAAGGGAATAAGTCTAGTAGGATAAGTTTAGCTTGTTGGTTGGCAGGACTGTCCTGCAAACTAACACTTTTTAAACCTAGGAGAAAAAGTTTTAAATCGGGGCATTGACATTGGAAGTCAGAAAAAATGTTTTATTTTAAGTCATATCCTCGAAGGTGCAGAGTTAGTGAGAGAATTTGGAAGGCTATGTAGTATGATGCCATTTATATTCTGCAGTGAGTCAATATGACGTGGATAAGAGTGATTTTGTGCATTTTGTAAATTATGTTCGATGGCACTATACCATTTTTACGAAGACTACGAGATTCAATGGAGTCATTGACCGGGCTGTCCGGAGAGTATGTGACATTCGACCAGATGGACAAAAGTGCAAATTAAAATTGTTGGCCACTGACCTTGAGAATTGGCAGTTTTAGTAGATTAGTGACGTTATTTGAACGTTTAGACAAACTGCGAAGGTCAGGATATTCTGGTATTTTAAAAATTTAAAATTTCGAATGATGACGTCATATTTCCGAGAAACGACGAAACGGCCATTTTTAGAAATAAGCAAAAAAAGAAACTCAACAACAACGATAGTTGCTAGAGAAAGGACAGAGTATTAGCAGAGACCGCTCCGAGTTGTAACAATTGTGTCGCAATAATTGTTACAGAGCCATTCACGCCAACGGTGAAGGGTGGTGGAACCGTGAATTCAGCCTTCCGGAGAGGAAATAAGGGTGTTATTTCCCCGGATTGAGGAATACGGAGGGGTCTTGAGACCTGAACTCAAACTATTTCAAACTAACTTTTAGCTTCCTGGTCATGCCCTGAATTGAATTTAAATAACATCTCGATTCGTTTTCTGATTATGAGAAGCTAAGAGTTGTGAGGGAAAGGGTTGATCCATCTTCGATGGAGATGGTGATTTTTATCTCCTGAACAAAAACAATAGTAATACAATAAATAGTAGTAGCCCTGTTTTTAGGAGTGACTTCGTGGTCTGGGGATATTCAGACTATTCCATGAGCTCACTAATTTTGCATGTAAGTAAGTTAATTTGAGCGTTCTGGTCGAAGCCGGAGAACAGTAACGTTTTTTTTCGACCCGATGTTGAAAAGACCACCAAAAGAACTGGCTTTGGTAGAGACGGTGAAAAGCATGTAGAGCTTTGTTTAGACGCTGACAAGTCGCTTTATAGCTTAGCTTTAAGTTCCGTCGATATGTACTCCGGTCGAATGTTACAGTTCTCATTGTTGTTCCGGTCGAATGTTACATGTCCTTATTTCTTTCCGGAAGGCTGGACACGTCGTCCCAATAACCTTCCTGGTTCTCGTGATTGTAACTGCACAATGGTTACAACTCGGAATGGTCTTTCAACAATAATTGCTGTTTCAATTTGTATTGTTCACCTTGTCTATTTCAACGAATATAGTTGTTCTCTCTGAGAAACTTGTCGCTGTTGTTTTTCCGTTTCAGTTGGTGCGAAATCTCAAGGTCGTGACGCGTCCTTACTTCGAAACGAATTTTTTAAAATGAACTTGGAACTCCAAACTAACCCTTCCGAGTTCGTAAAAATGAACAATTAAGACCTCTAATTGAATAAAACCATCAATCTTTTTGGTCAGATGCACCAATAAAATTTCGAATTCGAACTTGCATTTTGACACATTCTGGTCGAATGTCAAAGACTCCCCGGACAGCCCGGTCAATGTCCTCATTGAGTCCTGTAGTCTTCATCAAAATGGTACAGTGCCATCTGACGACCCACTTGAAAAGTTTCAAAAACTCAACGCTTGAATAGCTTATATAAAAAACCTTCACTTATTTGCCATTCGTTTCATCTCTTGAAATATTTTTTCGCGAACTTTTTCGTTTTATGAAATGACTTTAAATTTTTTATAGCTTGATTAGCTTGACTAGGAAAAACTTTTTTTTGTGATCCAATATGCTTCTTGAAACAACCTGAATTAAATCAAATTTTATTAGCAGGATTATTTTGCCTAAAAAAAGTTTTTTTTTGTGAACTGATTCCCTCAATAGAACAACTCAATATATTTCAAAAATTAATGTTTAAAAAGCTTGGATAGGAAAACTTTGATTTTTGTAAAAACAATTGACCCCATGAAATAATTTGAATTATTTCAAAGTTTCATCGCTCGAGTAGCTCGCATAAAAAGTTTCTAAAGTTTTGCAAAACTGTTCGGTTTAAGCAACAAATTTTAATATTTCCTCACTAAGCTCATTGCTCAATTAGCTTCCTTAGAAAAACTTTTCGTGAAACGATTCGATCAAATAATCTAATTTTAAAAAGTTCAAAAATTTATCACTTGAATGGCTTCAATACAAAACCTTCAATTTTTAGCCATTGTGTTCCTTTCGTGATAAATTTTTTTTTCACGAACCGATTCGGTCTATGAAATACTTTGAACTGTTTCAAAGTTTCGTCGGTAGAAAGATTCCAATTGAAAGCCTAGAAATTTTCGTCATCCGATTCCCTCTGTGAACTTATTTTAGTAGAGAGTCGAAATTCCATTTTTTGAATAGTTTGCGTAGGAATACTTATTTTTATCGGAAAAAAATGATGCTGTTTACAAAACGACTTGAATTTTTTCACTTTGCATTGCTTGGCTAGCATTTTTAGATAAACTTTCATCTGCGGACGTTTCAGTTTCATGAATTAACTTGAAATATTTCAACGCTTTTGAAAGCTGTAATAGCTTGCTTAGAAAAAATTAAAACTTTTGCCATCTTACTGACTTCGTGAGCTTGCTTGAAATATGTCTAAG